TTCCTGCACCTGGTACCCACAATTATACTCTTTCTATGTATTCAATTTCTTTAGATTCTACATACAAGTGAGAGTATGCAGTATCTATCTTTCCTTGTCCGGTTTATTTCACTTAACATAATCCCCTCTGAGTTCATTATCAAAAAGACAAGAGATAACAAGTGCTGGCAGGGATGGAGAAAAGGGAACCCTTGGGTACTGTTGGTGTGAATGTAAATTAGTATAGCCATTTTGGAAAACAGTGTGGAAGTCCCCAAAACGTTAAAAATAGAACTACCATGTGACCCAGCATCCTTCTTCTGAATAAACATTGAAAGGAAATGAAATCAGTGTCTTGAAGAGATATCTGCACTCCCACGCTCATTGCAACATTATTCTCTGGTGAAAATTCATGTAAAATATCTTAGCTGTTACAGTAGGAAATGGATTCATTCATGAATCTAGTCTATTGCCAATAGCTATAGAAATTAAGGCAGAATCTGCTGCATTGCTGTGTTAGGGTAAAATGTTAGTCTATGTGTGTGTATTTTTATATTCAAAATATGTAACTGAATACTCATATTTACACGTATCTAGTTCTTTCACTATGAGAGAAGCTCCATGAAAGTGGGCACTTTGTGTGTCTTTTCCACCTGAGAATCCTGGAGCATTAAATAATACTCGGCACATCAGTTGATGAATGAATGGCATCACACACTGAAAGCACTTTTATTTAATGTGCAAACAACAAAAATGCTGCCCCAATTCTGAATCTCTATTTAATACAGTGTTTAAAAATCATGGAGCTGCTGTAAAGATTGAATGAAGATTTTTATTTTTAAATATATAGTTAGAAAAGTAATGGGAGCAAAGATACTTGAAAGTGTCTGACTTGGGTACAAAATAGAGTAATATTTAACTCGATTCTGAATCCAAATGTAAGGAGGAGTAGAGGTGACCCCAAATCATCTTCAAATTGGAACCCAAGTAATCCATGTGCAAAACAGCACTTCTTTCCCTACTGTTCTGAATGGAGTGTTTTTTGGGAGCACAGGCAGTCATATTGCAGGCAGTTAAAAGGAATCCATCATTCTCATCAGATGGATGTATTGAGCCTTCGAGAAAATTCTACCTGCTATGGGAAACTCCTTAGTCTGAAACATTTCATCTGCAAGTCCAAAAAAATCTGGACCTGTGCACAGAGCAGGGTGAGTGAGGAAGGGAGCCATTGTCTACTGAGGATGTACCATATGGCCAGCTCTACCAAAGGACTCGTTTGATTCCTACTTTAGCCTGATAACAATAGCTAACATGCATTGGGCACTGACTCTATGCTAGTACTGTGTCAAGTAGTTTATATGAATCAGCTCAATAATCCCTCACTCTAACCCAAGGAGATGAGTATTTTTGTTACTACCACTTGACAGAAGAAGACAGCCAGGTACAGGAAAGTTACCTACGCTCAAGGTCACACAACTTGTAAGTGATGAGGTAAGTATGCAGTCCTAGATGGTGTGGCTTCCTGAGTGCAGGCTTGGAACTGCCTCTGTGAGCAAAGATTATTGCCCTTATTACATAAGAGCTAAAGCCTGATAAATGAGGTGACTCCCGAAGGTCACACTAAGAAAACTGACTCCAAAGCTGAGGAAGCTTTACTTCTCCTTACATTCTTTTTTGCTTCAATCTCACTTCAACAAAAGTAGAACATCTAGCAGCTAACATTTATTGAATACTTATTACATGACAGGCATTGTTTTAAGGGCTTCTTCTGGGTAACCTTATTTAATATCCAGAGTAACACTTTGAGGTGTGTTTTTTTTTTTTTAGTTTCCTTTTACAGAGGAGGAAATTAAGGTTGAGAAGCATCAAGTGACTTATTTTTTAAATTTTTTATTTTTTTTTAAAGATTATTTTTTTGAAAGTCAGAGTTACACAGAGAGAGGAGAGGCAGAGAGAGAGTCTTCCATCTGATGGTTCACTCCCCAACTGGCCGCAATGGCCAGAGCTGTGCTGATCCAAAGCCAGGAGCCAGGAGCTTCTTCCAGGTCTCCCACGTGGGTGCAGGAGCCCAAGCACTTAGGCTATCTTCCACTGCTTTCCCAGGTCATAGCAGGGAGCTAGATTGGAAGTGGAGCAGCCAGGATATGAACCGGTGCCCATATGGGATGCTGGCGCCACAGGCACTTAGCCCACTGAGCCACAGAGCCAGTCCTGCCATTTTCATATTGCAATGTTATAAAGAATTGGGCAATCTCTAGGTTAATTTGGGCTGTATTTTCATCTTAACAATATTAAGTCTTCCAATCCATGAAGATGGGGATTGTCTTTCCATTTACTTAAATCTTCATCATTTTTCAATAGCATTTTGTAGTTTCCAGCGTAAAAGTCTGACACTTGTTTGCTAAGTTTATTCCTAAGTAGTGTATTGTTTGTGATACTGTGGTACATGGAATTACTTTCTTATTATCTTTTTCTCAGATTGTTCATTTCATTTTATACAAGTGGTCCCTGACTTATGATGGTTCAACTTACGGTTTTTCAACTCCATGATAGTGTAAAAGTGATTGCCATTCAGTAAAGCTATACTTTGGATTTTGAATTTTGCCCTTTCCCCAGGCTAGTGCTTTGCATGCGATAATCTCTTGAGATGCTGGGCAGCAGCAGTCAGCCCCGGGGTCAGAAAGGAAACAACTGATGCTCTACAGTGTGTTGTGTTGCTCAGCTCTGGTGGTCAGTAAGTCAAGTGTATTCAATGCATTTCAACTTATGATGACATTATCAGGGAATAATCCTATTGTAAGTCAAGGCGAAACCATGTATTGGTATGTTTTGAATGTGTTTCTCCAAAGCATCAGTAGGAAACTTAATCCTCATTTGCAACAGGGGTTCTGATTACAAAAGGGCTTGAGGCCACTAGTTTGACATCTTGGGCTCCCTCTCTTGTGCTCTGTTTGGCCATTTTCCATGGCCTGATGCAATAAGAAAGCTCTCACAAGTTGCTGACCCCTTGATCTTGGGCTTCTGAGCCTCCAGAACTTTGAGAAATAAATGTGTATTCATTATAAATTGCCCAGTCTTAGGGATTCTCTTACAGCAGCATTAAACTGACAAAGACATATATTGACCTTACAGTCTGCAATCTTGCTGCCCACATTTAGCCAGGCAGTTGTGAGCAATATGGAAAAACCAGAACATGTCTACGATAAGGAAAGAATGAATTGAGTAAATCCAGACTATGGTAGTAGGCATGTAGAGCATTCTGTGACAAGCCAGCACTTTCTAACTTATATACTAGGCACATGAACCTCCTGGGAAACTAGTTGAAATTCAGACTGCTGTCATCAGGTTTGGGGGATGGGCTTGGGATTCTGTCTTTCTATCTATTCCTCAGTAGGTAGGAATAGTTATGATTACTAAGATACAATAACCTTATAATGCAAGTATTATTGTTTCTAGTTTTCAGAGCAGAAAATAGTGTCAGAAGTTGAGCAAGTAGCCCAAGTTCACGGGCTAAGTGGTAGGATCAGGATTTGAACACAGTTCATTTTAGTGCCAAAGCTGGACTCTTTCCACTCTACCACACCAGCTCGCTGAAGTAGGAAGAGAGCTGAATGTGACTGGAGTACAGATCAGGAGAAAAGGGCAAGGTTTATGGTGTCAGAGTCACTATCTATATATAACGCACTTAGGTCTACATCTCTAGGTTGTTTCGTAGAACTGATGGTCAAAGCCTTTGTTTTCTAGGGAGTTGGGAGTAAATCTATGACACCGGACTATCAGCTACAAATGATACTGCTAAAAAGAACTCAACATTGGGGGAGGTCCTGAAGGTGGCTTAGCTCTGATCAGGCTACACTCGAGAACTGGACTCTGCATACCGCTGAGGTCCATACCTGAGATTACACCTACTGAATCTGCCTTCACTCTAAATGTTGAGTTAGATCAAACCAGTGGTAACAACAAAAATAACTTATGGCATAAACTCTGTGGCTCCTACTTAGGGAGCTCTTGGAATAAATGTCTAAAATGTTTTCCCCTAAAAGTGTTATATCAGACCCCTCTATTTTATTGGGGGTACTGAATGGCATAGCATCAATATCATCCCTAAGTGGCCAAGGTAAGGGTTTCAAGACGGGATAAAGCTCTGGTCATACGGTTATCTAGAAGGACTATGGATAGATGACGAAATTTTAGCACATTTCTGCAGGATTGAGGAGTTTTCATCACCTAAATAAAAACACATGAGACTATTTTTTTTGTCCTTAGCACCTTTTATTGAAGTATGACCCTTGATGACAATCTAGTAGGCATAATTATGTCAGCTGAGAAGGTGGAGGACACAAATGCAGAAACAATAAGATTCAGAAAAATAACAGTTTCACATGGGATAGGTGACCCCCAACAAACACTGGTTCTTTATCTACAGAAACCACCCCATCCCACCCCCCTCCCCAAAGATCTACTAATCTTCAAATAATACAATATGCTGTTACAGAAATATTATCAGCATAGGCAACTCCTCTGGCAAGGACAGCAGGAGTTTCCAAGCTCCAGATGGGTGGGAAGTGGCAAGAAATGTGCCCAGCTTCCTCCATCTGGGGCCTGCTACTGGCAGAGCAGCACCTTCAGGGAGGCTGGGGTTCAGGATGTGGACCCCAGGCAGCTTTTTGGCACATGAAGTTAAATGAAAAACAACCTGAACCTGGCCTTGAAAGAGGAACTTCATCTCCTTCCCTCTGCTTCCAATCTCTCCCTTTCTAGGGCTTTAATTCAGTGTCTGTCTCATTATCTTAGATTCTGCTTGGGCACCTACTGCTATATCCTAGCTGAGTTTTCAGCTCTGAGAACCAAGGAGAATCAATTATCCAGGGCCTGGGGGAGGAGGGAAAGGAGAACATGTGATCTTAACTTTTACACTGACCCTTCTTTATCTATCAACCACCATTCTTACTTCCCACCCACTGGGGCCTCTGTAAATACTTGAAGGAAGAGAGCAAAAGTCACGATCTATAACTGTATTTGGGCAAATCCCTTGGTATGCCTTCTAAAATGTAGGCCCCTGGCAGGCCATGGAGTAGGGATGGGCCCAGGGACTGAGATGGGTTAGAGCCACTGCATCTTAAGTAATGCTGGGTAGTATGGCAGTACTATTGCTCACAACAGCATGCCAGTGTCTGCTTAGTAGTTTATGCTTGTCTGCTGAGCCTCAGTGCTCAGTATATCATTGGGATTAATTTTTAAGTGCTTCAGAAATTGTCCCTCTGCATGAAAAATGAAAATTCTTGTGGTCTGATTCCAAATCCAGAAACTAATTTGAAGTGGCATGAGAGACAAAAATAACAGAGTTCATAGTATTTAGGGTGTCCTAAACTTAAGGTATAGCCAATCTAAGATGAGTAGAAAAACCCAGACTATGACCATGGTGTCCAGGTAAAGTGAGCCTTCTTTTCTGTGGGTCCATATTCCCAAAAAGCCCCCAAGTCTTAGACTGATGCAACACATCAGCCTCATCTCCCAAATATGGACATTGCAACTCGCTTATTGTTTGTCTTACAGACTGATGTTTTTTAAAAAAGATGGCAACCACAGCCTCTATTCAAGCACTCCCCCACCTTCCTCAACCTTGGCTTGGACAAGCTCAGCCCTTTATGAGCCATCAGCCTTCCTGAATAGAGTAGAATCTTCCACTGCAGGGGAGAATGGGGGGGGGGGGGGCGTGACATTCTAACAGTGGTTCTGGCAGCAGCAGTACTAAGAGCACCCCCAGGGCCCCATAGAAAGGGTTCCTACCCACTCCCAAGACATCCTTCTGGCCCAGATTCTTCCATTGTTTTCCAACACAATGAAGAGGAAAGGGAAGTCAGTGAGCAGTATTTGTAGCAGCAGCAAAGTTCCTTGGCAAATTCTTTGGCTGAATGAGGTACTCCTGCTGCCACAGTTAACCTCCAAGGACTCTGAGGAATTCAGCAGTAAGGAGGACAGATGCTGGGGGCGGTGGGAGTGTGTGTTGGGGGGCTGGGTTGGGTAACACACCAAGGATTGGCCACAGTGAACAGGGAACAGAGAACTGAGTTGGCTAAAGGGTAGAGTTTTGTCACAACTCTCTTTCTGCCATCAACCACCCTAGTGCTCTTCCAGGACAGAAGCTGGCTACCAGTGATAAGGCTTCAGCAACAGCCACAGCTTTAGTAATTTGTGCAACTGCCCCCCCCCCCCAAACCTGTCACCCCCCCCCCTCGCCCGGCTTAGCCATTCGTTCACTCTCTCCAGTCTCAGTGACCAGCAGTCAACTGTGGTTCAGACAGATTGAATGGGAAATCTCAGTAATCAGTAAGTCCCAGGTTTTACGTGGCACGTTGTTCTGAGTAACATGTGGAGATCTCCCAGCATCCTGCTCATCCCACTCAGGACACGAATCATCTCTTTGTCCAGCCAATCCACACCCATCAGTCCCTTAGTAGCCTTCTTGGTTATCAAATTGATTGGCCTGCTATCATGGTGCTTGTGTTTAAGGAACTCTTGTTTTACTTAATAATGGCTCCAAAGTGCAAGAGTCGTGATGCCAAGGAAACATCAGGGCATAAGGCATGGGAGGATGATTAATTCTGTCCAATGCTACAGGGTATATAGGAAAAAAACACAGTATACATCGGGTTCAGTGCTATCTGCTGCACGCACCCATTGGGGGGGGTGTCTTGGGACATAGTCCCTGTGGATAAGGAGGAACCACAGCATCATAATTTGCTGGATCATAATTTGCTCTGGGGGGCTGGCCCTGGCTATGGTGAATTTTGGTTCCCTGTGGCAGGCCACAGGCTAAGAAAGTAATTGTTAGAGGAGCTCCTCCTGAGCTCACCTCCACTCACCCCATAGCTTGGAGACAGCAGAGAAATGAACAAGTCTTTGTCAGTTTCAGGAAATTCTTTGGTTTCAAAACAAGAAGAAAAAAAAAAAGAATCTTGCTAGGGAATGTTAAGCTCATGATTACCCAGACATCAGGGTAGGCACAGGGCCAGGCCATGGTTCAGAAGCTCTGAGTTCAAGGAGAGAACTTGTTTCTTAGACACCTGTAGCTATGGTAGGAAGAATTCAATGCCTTGGCACTCGCTTACCTAGCCATGGTGGAATCAGGCTGATATGCAGAAAAGATTTTCCTTCTGGGCTAACTTTTCCCTCTCCAACTTTCCTCTTCTTGCCTTATTAGTTAAAAATAAAAAGAAAAGAAACAATCAAAACATAAAAATAAATAAGATTAAAAGGCCATTTAAAATATAACAATACGAACCCCCTCCCCCCCCAATAATGAGACCTATATCCAGAAGTCAACTTTAGTAGAACAATGAATGGCCCACAGTGGGAGGCCCTGGACTAGGCACTTGTAATGCCCAGAAATGAAAGGTAGGCCCAGAGTCTTAGGACACGATGAGGGCTGAGAGTAGGCGTCTTCCCTCTCAATTAGCTGCTGGGGAAGGTGGGGGTGGAGCCAATTTGTTTACATCTGGCTCCTTCCTGAGGGGCACCTGGGGACACTCCATCTTTGCTGCATTCTGCTAATTAAGTGTAATTCCTCCTTCTGTGTTTCCTACTGCAAAGCTTGGGTGAGGCCCTGAAACTGGTGCTAAGTGAATGCCCTCAAAGCAGCCAGATCTCTGGGCCCAGAAACAGCTGGGCCCAGAGCCCTGGAGTACAGTGCAGGTGCACAGGCAGCTTCTCTCTGAGCCTTACAAGGCTAATTCCAGGAGGGGCTGCAGGGGTGAGTTTGTGATTCTTTGGTGTCTTAGTAGAAAAAAAAAATGAAGGCACTTGGTTGATTCTGTGTGTAGTAAGTGCTTGCCCGTGCACACTGTGGGAAGGAGAGTGCAGTTGTATGCTCACATCTTGTTGCAGCTCCCTAGGGTAGACGTTCGCAGGCTCCCCAGGGTCTCCTCACTGGATAGAAACACTGCTAGGAAAGGGGCAGTGAGAGACATCCAGGGTGAAGGGCTGGAACAACCTGTTAACTAACTGCTATCTACTCCCTAGCAAACTGCTAATGAAGACTGAAAGCACTTCCCACTGTGCCTGGGCAGGGCTGCTGTGGCAGACTGCTGGTAGCCTTAGAAATTGCTGGGCCCCAGGAGTAGACTCTCCCTGAGACACTTGAGTTGCTCTTCCCCAAGCTTGATCTTCTCCTCCAGTTCTCGCTGTTCAATGATGAGAGCAGATTTCATCTTGACAAAGTGCTGGTAATCTTGCAGCTGGTCCTGAGGCAGGTAGCGGGAGACCATGCCGAACACGAGCTTCTCCCGGCGGTCCACGTGCTCCTTCAGCTCCTTAGCGTCTGCCAACTGCCCCGTCAGCTGCTGCTTCTTCTCTATCAGCACCAACTGGGGAAGCAGAGGAGCAAATAAAGGCTATCTCAGTTACCAGGCAAGTCTTCAGTGCTCCACCATGGAAGCTGTCACGAAGCAGCTCTCCATTCTGCTAACTGATCAGGACTAGATTCCCTACCCTAAAGTCTGCTTCCATGAAAATACCTTTCTTTCCTGTAGCAGGAGGAGGATGTACAGCCATCTCTTTCTATCTCTGAGGCTGTCTTTAATTCTTGAGCCGCCACTGGATGCGGGTTAGTGGAAGGTTCTAGCAAAGCTGGCTTGTGTCCCCTTCCATCCAGTGAGCCACCATCACTGTGGAGATGCTTTCTCTACAGTGGGTGTGTCTGTGTGAGTGTATATGGCCATGTGTATGAGCCTTGTAGACTCCAAGTTGTATCCAAACCACATTAGTAGGAAAACATAATGTAGTTTTGGTTCAGGAATGTACATGAATGAGCCAAGCCATGAAACTGACTGCCTTCCTATCCCAACTTCTTGACAAGATCTCTCCGTCCAACTCTACAGAGAGTGAGGCAAAACTGCCGCCGCTGCTGCTGCTATTATTTCTGCTACAACTATCGCTATGACTAGCAGCTAGTACTAACCCAGGGTTCATGCTGTACCAGGTCCCATTTGAAGTCATTAACCTGGATTATCTAACCTCATTCTCACAACAACCCCATGAGGCAGGCACTGTGTCCACTCCAATTTATAGATGAAGAGATAGACATGGAGTGAGGTTACGTCACACAGCTAGGAAGTGTGTGTGTGTGTGTGTGTGTGTGTGTGTGTATGTGTGTATTTGAAAGGAAGGGAGGGACAGAGAGAGAGAGAGAGAGAGAGAGAGATGCTCCATTTGGTGGTCCACTCCCAAAATGGCCACTGGGACTGGGACTGGGCCAGGCTGAAGCCAGAAGCAAAGAGCTCCATCTGGATCTCCCACATGACTATCAGGGACCCAAGCACTTGGGCCATCATCCACTGCCTTCCCAGGCACATTAACAAGAAGCTGAATCAGAAACAGAGGAGTTGGGACTTGAATGGGCTCTCAGGTATAGGATGCCAGCATCGCAAGCAGTGGCTTAGCCTGCTGTGCCACCATGCGGGCCCCTGCTCACACTTATAAAACTATGCAGTCTACCTCCCATAATATCCAAACTGGAAAGAGGAAGCCCTGAGAAGAAACAGCATTTACCTCCACCCACACCCTAGAGACCCCAACTCTACCTTCTCCTGGTTGGCCTCTGAATCGATGCTGTTGAGCGCATTCTCCACCCGGGCCAGTCGTCCAGAGAGTGACAGCAACAGGTTGACCACTTTGTCCAGGTCACCAATAAACAAGCGGTATTTTTCAAACTCATTGGATTTGCAAACAGCTTTTAAGTTGGCCTCCACCTCCTCCCCAAGGATGGAATTGGCATTGATGTCCTCCAGCAGCCCTCGCTGGGCTTCTCGCAGGACGGAAAGTTTTCTGCCAATGCTTTCAATGAGTTGTATCTAGGAGAGTTTACCGGGAGACAAAAGGTAAGAATGGGGACCAACTGAAACTCATCTGGCCCTGTAGCCAGATGGAATCCAAGTAGCACAGAGTGGCCTCTACCCTAGTCACCAGAAACAAAGTTAACCTGAGCAAGCTGTGAGAAATGCCAGCTGTAGGGGCAGGAACCTTCTCTCCCTGTTTCCGTGTCACCAACAAACTTCTTGGCATTAGGTAAGTGGTACCCAAAGGCTTACCCTCATTTGCCAGGTGCAGCTTGATAAATGCTTGCTGGGACTATTTAACCAAAAAGGACCAGAAGGTCTGGGAGAGCTGAACTTGGCAAATCATCTGTTATCAAGTATTTGACTAGCACTTCATTCACTGTCCTTCAGTCATGTAAGTACCTCTTATATTTATGGCGCCGAGCTGGATCCTTGTCTCCTCTGCTGGCATTCTGAGGCCGTGTGAATAAGAGTGTGAGTTCTGGGGTCAAAACGATTGGGTCTGACTTCTAGTTCTACTGCCTCAGCTCTGCCACTTCTGAGCTGTGGAAGCTTGGCTGACTCGAGTTTATTGAGCTTCACTTTCTATGCATGGAGAATGGGGGTGACAGAAGTACCCACTGCACTGGGTTGTAATAAGGATTCAAGGAGATTCAAGGAGGTGGCATATGAAAATGGCTTGGCACTGAGTACCTGCTCAATAAATGCTAGGTTGCTATTATTATTATTCAGTCTCATCCTAATGTCATTCCTGAGAATCATTCAGGATTCGTTCTTTACCCTCCTCTGTCCACTCATTCTTGTATTCCTGAGCTGCTTCTTTTTTTAAAAGATTTATTTATTTATTTGAATTAGGAATTACACAGAAAGAGAAGGAGAGGCAGAGGCAGAGGCAGAGAGAGAGAGAGGTCTTCCATCCACTGGTTCACTCCCCAGTTGGCCGCAACGGCTGGAGCTGTGCCAATCTGAAGCCTGGAGCCAGGAGCTTCTTCCAGGTCTCCTCTTCGGGTACAGGGGCCTAAGGACTTGGGCCATCTTCTACTGCTTTCCCAGGCCACATCAGAGAGCTATATTTGAAGTGGAATTTGAACTGTCACCCATATGGGATGCTGGCACTGCAGGCGGTGGCTTTACCCACTATGCCACTGCACCGGCCCCACTGAGCTGCTTCTTAAAAAAATTACTTATTGGAAAGGCAGAGTGACAGAGACAGAAGGAGAAAGGGAGAAACAGAGAAAGAAATCTTTGGGCTAGTGGTTCACTTCCCAAATGCCCACAAATAGCCAGGGCTGGGCCAGGCCAAAGCCAGGAGCCTGCAATTCCATTTGGGTCTCCCATGAGGGTGGCAGGGACCCAGATGCCTGAGCTATCATCTGCTGCTTTCACAGGATGTGCATGAGCAGGAAGCTGGCTCTGAAGTGGAGTAGATGGGACTTGAACCAGGCACTGTGATATGCCATGTGGGCTCCCCAAGCAGCAGCCCGACCTGCGTTGCTACAACACCTTTCCCCCTGAGCTGCTTCTTTAGCTCTACCTGCTTTCTATCTATTTCCTCATTTTGGCTGTTTCTATTCTTCAGGGTTGAGCCCTGAAGAATATGGAAGCAGCCATTTGTCTAGCTGCAAGTTTCTAGCAGGAATGGACTCATCGGGGGTTGTATAAAGCCTCTGCAGCCACAGTGTGGGTGAGTGGAGTTTCAGAGTCAGAGACTCACAAAGCAATGGTGTGACCTTGAGCAAACTAATCAGCCTCTCTGTGCCTCAATCTCTACATCTAAAAAACATAGGGGGTCGGTGCTGTGGCGTAGTGGGTAAAGCTGCCACCTGCAGTGCCGGCATCCCATATAGGTACCAATTCATGTCCCAGCTGCTCCACTTCCAATCCAGCTCTCTGCTATGGCCTGGGAAGGCAGTAGAAGATGGCCCAACTCTTTGGGTCCCTGCACCCACGTGGGAGCTCCGGAAGAAGCTCCTGGCTCCTGGCTTCAGATAGGTGCAGCTCCAGTCATTGCAGCCATCTGGGGAGTGAACCAATGGATGGAAGACCTCAATCTCTTTCTCTCTGCCTCTGCCTCTCTGCCTTTCAAATTAAAGAAATAAATCTTTAAAAAAGTAGGGGAACCATAGTACCTACTTCATAAAGTGGTTATGAGAACTAAATGAGTCAACATGTTTTCCATGCGTAGAATAGTCTCTTGTGAATAGGAAGTAGGCTTCAGTGTTTGTTTTATTATTATTCAAGCTCAGGCACTCTAGGACCATAGGCTTGTGGTTTTCTAGAATGTGTTCCTCTTTAGTGGTTTATTGAGAAACGTCCAAGGTGAACAATGCTAACAGTGCCTCCTCTGGGTTCCAGGGCCTGTTGGCATAATTTAGAACTGTTCAAAAGTCAGAAGATTACCATAATCTTAGCCTGAAGTGTAATAAGTTTGCATATGGTGAAAATTCCAAAACGTAATGGGAATTGGGGCTCAATGATATATGAACGAAGCAACACAATTAGATGTCACCAGGCTCCCAGTTGTATTTCTATCCTTTGCTCTCCCAAACAAAACTCAGTGTTAGGGACAAAGGATGACACACTTGACAAATTGCCTACCCACTCTCGTTCCCAGGCTCTGGTGGTGAAGGAAGGACAAAAATGGAGCAAGTCCTTTGTTTCTCAGAGTCTGAGACCGAACTTCAACCTAAACTTCACCTGAACTTCAACCCTAGAGAAAGTTCAGTGGACAGCGATGTGGAGTCTCACAGACACAACCAGAGCTTGTTTGTTTCTGGGATATTGCAAATCGGTGACCTTCCCTGCCTTTCTTCCTCAGAGATAAAAACTGTCCTCACCCAACCACAACCCCACCGAGTCACTGCTATTCTGTGCTTTGTCACTTCTGATCATCTGTCTCTTATCTTGGTCAGACTTTTATTAGGTTTGCCCCTGCAGAGGCCAGGCCATGAGTAAACTAGAAGCAACCCTGCCATGGTCAGAAAACATGGAATCCAAGGAAGCCGGCATCTGAATCCATAACACTTTGACACTAGCATGCTTCTAGTTCTTTCCCTGATATTTTGCTTCCGATGGGAAATTGGAGGGAGAGTTCTTGCAAATGGCCTGTACTTTCCTACAGGTCCTATTCTAAAAGAGAAATACGGGCAGAAGAGCAATTTACATTGGGTTCAGATGTCCACAAAGTGGTAAATTGGGCCTTTGGGGTTGTCATGGAAACTCTATTTGCCTATGAAATAAAATGGGTAAGTGCAGGGAGGGCAAAGCGATTCCAGGAATTTGATTAGAACACCAGGCTAGAGGTACTTAGAGGAAGACAGAGAGACTTTTGAACAACAACATCTCCATCTATTTTGTATTTTCATGAGATAATTGACCATCTTTGCAAATATATACTAAAGTTTGCTAGTCTATAATTTGTCTGTATTTTCCTTAGTTATTCTGTTCTCGTGTATGGAAAGTGACACAGAGAATAATGATCCATGATGCTACCTTTGGCTAGAGTTCACTGGCAGAAACCCTGGTGTGCCCTGGGTGGTGAGTTTCTTACAAGGCTGGCTTAACTCAGAAGGGTAGGGCAATAGCACAGAGATTCAGACAGCCTTGACTTCAAGTCCTGGATCTATCATTTAGTCTGCTATCCCTGGACAAATCAGCCCCCTTAATTGGTCTTTAAAAAGGCCTAGTTATAGGCACTTTACAGGGTTGTTCTAGCAGAGGTGGGGAACCTCTGGCCCATGAGTCATCTAAGGCCCACAAAATCCTTTGGTCTGGCCCTGCTAAGGCAAGTGCAAGTGGGACTCAGAATTCAATAATTCTATAGCAGGCTCATTTTTAACTTGAGCATTTTGTATGGCCTGCAAGTAATGTTGTAAATATCCAAATGGCCCTTGGCACAAAAAAGTTTCCCCACACCTGTAAGGACGATAGAGAATAAGAGAGTACTCTTCCTCCTCCTCCTATTATTATTATTATCATTATCATTATTATTGCCTGGGTCCAAAAGAGACTGGAGTTGGATCTGTGAGACATCCAGAGAAGCTGTTTGACTTCCGTACTGAAAATATGGGGATGTAAGGTATTCGATGTTAAGCAGCTCACCCTCCAGACACACCAAAGGTAAGTACTGAAAATCTCTAGAGCATATCAAAAAACTTTACCTTTTTCTGAGCCAGTTCATGGTCAACTTCCTCCTCCCCAAAGCCAATCTCTGCCATCTCTGGTTGGTCTTTCAACTTGTTCAGCAGCTCTGCTTTGGCCACAGAAATATTGTAATAAGCTGAATAAGAGGTAGGGACTCCTGGGGCTCCCGGAGGAGGTGAGAAGTGCTGAAACTCTTGTCTGTGGGGAAAAAGAGTGACCACTGGAGCAGCTCTGTGGACAGACTAATAACATATCTCTTCCTTCATTTCCCCATCTGTAAAATGGGACCCTGCTTCATCAAAGAATTTGAGACCAATGGACCAGAGGTACTGTTTAAATGTAAACAGACCACATGAAGGCCACCTAGAAGCCAAGTAAAGGCAAACCTTAATAGCCCAGAAGGCTGTTTCGGAGTCCCTGACTCCAGCAGCTAGGGGGACTTCTTTTGAGAATGTTTTGATTGGTTATTAACACTCTATTAAAATCCAGAAAATCTGGCTGGTCCCAAAAGATGGCTCCAATATATGGAGCACAAAGGAGCCAGGTGTTGAGGAACTACCCAAGAACTTAAGCATTGGTTCTCCAAACTTGTTGGCCTCTCTCCTGCCCATCCCTGGACTTCTGCCCACCCCTGCTCTCTCTAGTCTGCTTGCTTACAAAGGCGCACTCAGCATTTTTTTTGTCATTCCCAATGCCACCCCCGTTTGCAATATCCACGCTACTGCAGATGTCCCACAGCAAATCGGTCACACATGACTTTGGCAGTGGTCACCATATTGAAGGCTGAGGTTAGCACCCCTGCCAGGGAGTTTTCATGCCCTATTATATCTCTCATGAGCTCTTTTGAGACTTCCTACTGTAGGGCGGGCCTTGGGCTTAAGAAGGGAGAGCATCTCTCCACTCCCACAGTATGTCCTTAAGGGCCCCAACATCCTTTGTGGCTGTAGAGGGACAAATGGAACCAGTGTAACAGAGGGTGGGGGTGGGGGTAGGGAGTGTGGCAGCAGACCCTGTTGTCTTGGGTTCACCAAAGGCTGCAGGGAAGAAGTAGCTCTGGCTCCATGCTGACTTGGGTTTGGACTCTTCTGCCACCAAGGCTTCTGGTCTGGAGTGAGGAAGTAAAGAGAAATGCTCTCATGTCAGGTTTCAGTGATGGAGGGACAAATCATTGCACCCATGGTTTATGCAAGGGAGGGTCCACACCTCCCCCCAGCCCCATTATATTCTCTTTGCCTGCCAGCCAGCACCACCCTCCACCTGTCCGTGTCCCTACCCCTGTGCCAACCTCTAGCTGTCTGCAACGGAAAATAGGAAAAACTCATTAGTCACTTTTGTAGCTATTTGCAGCTCTTAGCTAAAGGTCAAAAATAATGGTTAAAAGGCTCCACAGCTATTTACTGATTCATGCTATGCTGTCTCCTAATTCATCACACAAAAGAAACTTGGGCATGCCAATATGCCTCATCCCAGGTACATTCATTTTACATTTTTCAAGCTTGTAACACTGATAGAGAAACAATACTTGTACCAGCTAGCATTCACGCAGGGCTTACTGTGCCCTAGAAACTGTCCCAAGATAGATGCACACAGATACACAGAAATAATTGAATGCCCATGACAACCATTTTATAGATAAGGGACAAGAGGCACCCAGAGGTAAAGCGACTTTCCCAAAGTCACCAGCCAGACCTGTGATTTGTACCCAGGAAACCTAACTCCAGAACCTGTGCTTTTAGCCACAATGCCACACAGCCAAAGGGACAACTTGACATTTTAACAAAACCCTACACGTAAGGAATTTTCTAGCTAGAGTATATTTCTGGTAGCAGAAAAGAGAGAACATTTTAGAGGAAATACGAAGGCATGAGCTTAGAAAATTCTTATCTACAAGAAAAATATTGAGGGCATACGTGAAAGTTCTGACTCAAAATGTGTATGCTTTTTGGAGACTCAGTTCCCCAAAAGAGACAGCTCTATTTTGCACTATAGGTGGAGTATCCATTATTATTCATATTTCAGAGACTTTCAGATTTTTGGAATATTTGTAAAGGCTTTATGAGTGGAGCATCCCTAACCAAAAATCCAAGATGCCCCAAAGTTCAAAACCTTTTGAGTTTTGGAGCATTTTGGATTTTTGAATTAAAGATTCTGAACCTATATATGTGTCATATTTGGCAATGGAACTTTTTTCTCATCACCTCCATAACAGGTAAAGTTATGACAACATAATCTGAACTTGATAGAGAATATTGAAGCAAACATCTGATTTTTCCCACAGAGAACTGAGAGGAAATGTATAAAATCCATAATGGAAGTCATGTGTATTTGAATTAGAGTTATTTTACTTAATGAGCCCCTCAAAATGTGTAGCATGTGCAATTCAAATGCAAACAAGGCTATTTAATTCCAGCTATGTGAAACCACAGCATCTTAAAGCCCACATATTATTCAGTTACAAAATGCTGGGATACATATAGAAGCACTTTTGTGGAATTATGAAGGGTTGGTTAATTAAAGTAACTCTAATTCGAGTATACATACTTGGCTGGGCTTCCTGGGTTCTTGCTGCCTGTGACCTTGTGATCCAGTTACTTTCTCTTTCTGGGCCTCACTTCTCTCGTCTAAAAAGTGGAGGACACTAATAGGAACTACCTCCCAAGTTTGATGTGAGGATTAAACCAATCAATGCAGATGTACAGATGTTCCTTGACTTATGATAAACCCATTGCAAGTAGAAAACATCCTAAGTGGAAATAGCATCGAATCCCCCTAACCTACTGTAAACCACGGTTGAGCAGCACAGCACACTGTAGAGCATGAGCATTTTCCTTTGCCATTGCCCAGCATCATGCGAAAGGATTAAACTGCATAGGCTAGCTTAGATGTGGTCCAAAGTGATAATCTGAAGTATGGTTGCTACCGAGTGCCTATCACTCTGGCACCATCATAAAGCTGAAAAAGTGGAAGTCAAATCGTTGTAAGTCAGGGACCATGTGGACATGAAAAGGTTTAGAGCAATGCTTGGCACGTAGTAAGCAAGTAAAAAAAAAAAATACTAGCTTGGTTGGGAAGAATGCTGTTCCTGAAATCGCTATCACTCAAACAAGCATCTCCAATGGATTCTTGCAGCTACAAGCCTGGGCTGTTTGCAAACAAACAGGGTTGTTTTCCCTGGTAACCTTAGTCATTAAAAATCAAAAATCTCTAGAGCAAAAGTTCTAAGCTCTCTAATAACGGCATTTTCCTTTTCTCTGATGAAAGGTGCCTAAAGGACGTAGAGCCAGGGCCTGTGATTGCTATGTCTGATACACAATACCCAATGGGAGAGAAGAGGGTCCCCTGAAGGCCTGGCCTACTGGAAGAACAAGTTCTCCCTGAGACTGGCTGCTGTGGAAAGCCAAAGAAGCCTGGGGTTTGGAGTAAGACAGATAGGGTATTGAACCTCTGCTGCATAATTATGAGCTAGATCATCCCTTATTTTGCTAAGCTTTAGTTTCCTCATCTGTCAAGTGGGGATAATAATGGCCAACTGGGCTGTTAGGAGAATTAAATGAAATAATGGAGAGAAGATGCTGCAGTGTGTGGCATGTACTAAGTGCTTAATACATGTTTATTCTTTCATCTCTTCATTCTTCTGAAATACTCATTAACAGCCTCCTAAGTATTAATTAGGCCACCTTTCCCTTCTCCCTGCTGTGATTGGAAATGATCACCGTCACGTTCCCCAAATGGTTTTCAATTACAGTAAGAATGTTCCCCAGCTGGATGGACAGCTTGAGAAGGATCTGCTAAGAGCTTCATGATGCCTGGGAGCCTGGCCCTGTAAATGCTGTTGGATGGAGCACCTCAGGCTGGGGATCTGCTCAACTACTCCAGATGGCCATGTCATAGATTTGTGTGTTAACAAAAGCCACAAGGACAAGGTACTTCTGCTAGCAACAAGTCTCAGTCAAGTTCTGGCTATAAAGAGATTTAAAGAAAGCACTGAAGAGACACCAGTCTCCCCACCCCCACCCCCCACCCCACCTGCAGCAGAGAGGAGGGCTGTGCTCTCTCCACTGCAAGGCAGGCAGCTCTGAGAGTCACAGCACCAAGAAATGATGATCCTGGCGCTTTGGGTTTGGGACAAAAAGGACAACCAGTCCCTGCGGGGCACACAGATGAGAATTAGCACTGTGCAGTGAACAGACAACCACACTCCTGCTTTGGCCTCTGTGTCCAGGAAGCTGGCCCCGTGGACTTTTGCCTATTGCTTACGAAGTAAAGGCCATGGGCCAGGGAAATAAGGAGAGGGAGAAAATAAGGAGAATAAGGAGAAAATAAAGAGAAGAGAGAGAAAAAAATATTTTTAGCTATTGGGAAGAATCACCAGGGCCTAAAGCACCCAGTCCCAGCACTATAGATCAGACAAGATCAGGCGTGTTCAGGGTGCTATGGCAGTAGACCCAGGACTGCAGTTAATAATAGGGTTGAGGAGAAAAGTTGAGAAACCCAGCCTACTCAGAGTGGAGGCGAGTCAGCTGGGGAGCTGGCCTCTTGTTCTGGAGGGAAAGCAGAAGAAAGGGCAGAACAGCGCCTGAGTCTGGTTTCCAGGAAAGGCCTTAGTACAGGCAATGAGGGTTTAATGCCCTTGGAAGCAGGGGCTGGGGCTCTGATGCATTCCTTAAAGATAAACAGAAATCACACAGTATTTTAATAATGATGTTTAGGGATAAGAACATCAATAACTCCGATTTCCTGAGTATCTACTATGTGCTAAGTATGGAGCTATGTCCTTTATGTAGCTCATCTAAATATTTACAACAACCCCATGGAGCAAGTGTCATTGTGCCCATTTTCCATGTAAGAAAACTGAGGCTGGGAGCAGATTAATTGGCCAGCCCTATGTCACCCAGCGAGTAAATGGTGGCAGCAGAATTCAAAGTCACACTGCCTGCCTTTGTAGGGACCCAGTATCTTTCATAAGCACTTACTTGGGGGAATCAGTGGCCTCTTGTTCCGATGTCCTCCAAAGCCCACCGATGCCATAGTAGCAAGGGGGCTGAGCCTGGTCAGGTTGAGAGCTCAAGTGACCTCTTCCTAAAGGCAAGAAATTGCTGGAATGGAGAGCAAAGGACTCTTGCTCTGCTGGAAGGCTTTGTGAACTCTGCCTCGGGGCCTCCAGGTGGCCAAGGCTCGGCGGTTGTGGCTGTTCTAGGACCTGCTGAGGATTGGGGACACAGGAACTAGTGGTTTCTGAACTGAAATATTGGGGCGGCAGTTCTTCCTCCTCCTCTCCCTCCTCCTCCTCCTCCTCTTCCTCCTCGCCTTCTTCTTCCTCATCCTTCTGTGGCTCTTGCTCTTGCTGTTGCTGCTGCTGCTCTTGCTGCTGCTGTGGCTGCGGCGGCAGCGGCGGCGGCGGCGGCGGCGGCGGCAGCTGCTGCTGCTGCTGCTGTTGCTGGGCTGCCCGGAATAGCCTGTACTTCTCCCAGTTGGGAGGTGGAGGACGAGGAGGAGGAAAGGCCTTTTTCCTGGTTCCAAGAGGATCTGGTTGGGACTCATCACCTTTGGTAAAGATCTCCCTCCGATGATGCCCCCAGGCCCGGGTGCTCTGCGGCTCCAAGCTGATGTGACTCTCAGAGAAAGCGCGGCTGCGCAGTGGGCGAGGCATGGAGGCAAGGGTGCTCTCCTCAGAAACGGAAGGTTCCTCCGTTTTGTTCGAGGCGTGTTTGAAGTCTCCAAGGAGGTCAAGAGAAGAAACCGCTCGGTAGGTTGATAAATCCAGCGCTGGGTTCTCAAGGCATGGATGGAAGGGGGTTGCCCATGGAAAGCTAGCCTTGGAATGAGCCATTTCCCTGCAAAAGTGCACGCAAGTGTTGGGTCAAACAAGCAAGTTGCAGAAGGTCACGTATTTGGGATGTCATCATTTATGTCAAATTTAACATGGCCACCAAAACAATGTAATTTATGTAGTACATATAATAATGATACAACGATAGCTGACATTTCAGTGCATATGCTAAATAGCAGGCCTTGTTTTAAGTGATTCCCATGTTGTAACTTACTTGATCCTCACAATAACCCTAGGAGGTACCTATTATTATTGTCCTGATTTTCTAGGGGAAATAGAGGCATGCACAGATTAAATAACTTGCCTAGAGTCACGAAGCTAGTATGTAGTAGAGCTAGGATTTGAACTTGAATATTCTAGCTGCAAATTCTGGACAGATATCCACCACTCCAGTCTTTTTACAGCCCTACCATGGGATATGCTGTTTTTTGGACTTATATGCCTGCCCATCCTACTTCATCTATTGCGTGTGTGTTTTTTTTTTTAATCATGAAAAATTCCAAATGTTTAGAAATGTGCATATTGTCACAATAAGCACTCATGTTCCCCCTGCCACCCAAAATTAGCACATTGTAATACTTTGCTATTTGTGCTTCATGAATTCTTAAGAAATAAGACATAAACCCTTTGTATTGCTCCCTACTTCCATTCATCTACTGCCTGTGTAGATGCAAGTTGTATCACGAGTTAGTTGTGTATCATTTCTATGTTATTGTATTTGTAACAAAAATCACCAGGTCACAAATAGTTGCTATTTTGGATTTCTAGTGTATCTTTCTAATGTAATTCCAACCAGAATTCTCAACAGGAATGCTGTAGCTATATAATAATTTGAAAGTCAAGTTGCAAACAAAGCAGAATATAATATTAAAGAGTATTCTGCTACAGAATAAGTGAGGGGATAATAAGGGATTAAGTATATTATAAAATAATTTTAATTAAAACAGGGTGTATCAGAACAGACTAGAAAGTCCAGAAACCAAACTATCTATAAAAATAGAATATATACAACATTTTCCAAAAACTAGGATATAAAGAAATATTATTTAATAAATCTTTTTAAGATCACTGAGAGCAATGCTATTTAGAACTGCATCACATAATACATACCACAGATACACGTGTTTGTGTGCATAATTTTGATATCTATGTTATATTCATAAATGTGTGTATATTATATGCGTGTATTTAATACACTTACAATTTTAAAATCTATCAGGAAGCTTAAAAGACTCCCACTTGTGAGGTGAAATAAGATTCTCAATTTATAAGCAACAGGAGAAAATCTCCAAAGAAAGAAGTCCAGGTTTATTTGACTACATCTACAAAGTCAAACTTCTGTATAATAGAGTGACCAAAGTTAAAACTACTTCGTCAGATTCAGAATATAAAGAGTTAAGCCTGGAAGCCACAAGAGCTGTTTTCCTGCTGCAGCCTGTGAGCAATCAACCTCATGCTAAATCCTGCCTAGTGACAGGAGTTCCAAGGGTTCAATCAAATCATCACACAACCTAGCCATTCAATAGTCATGATGAAGACAGACTATTTCTTTAAAAATAATAACACACACAATGGCAGCCAAGCTCGGATAGAATGAAAAGCCAAATGTCCTTCATCCCCCTCATCTCCAGCCCCCATGCTGAGGAGCTCATCCCTCACATGGCTAAGAGATTCATATCCAGACAGCCCCATTCTCTCCTCACTTAGGCCTTAGCCCAGAGAAAGGTCCTTGAGATTATAATGATCCCTTGTGTGCCAACTGTTCCACCTGCCAAACCTCACAGGGAAAAAAAAAAAAAAAAACAGAAAAAGGTGGTGAGTGGAAATAAAAGGATTACAAATGTGTTTCAGACAGAGGACTTTCCTGATCACCTTACCTAAAATAAAGACTAGGCATTCATTGTCACGTGATATTATAGCACATACACAGTTTTACTTATTTCTTTTGGGATCTACTCACTAACATAATATGAAAGCTCCATGAGGACAGGGATCTTGTTTGTGTCATTCCTCTAGTCTCTGTGTCTTCAGCACACAGTAGGTGTTCAATAAATATTTGTTTAATAAATGAATTAACGCCAAATATAAAAAAAACTGAATTCAAGGCCAAATCAATAAACAAGGCAAAGAATGGTATTAAGCTAATCATTAGAATGTACAATGAAGATATAACTACCGTGAATCTTTAGACATCAAAAAAAAAAGCATTAAAATTCATAAGGCAGGGGGCCAGCACTGTGCCGTAGCAGGTAAAGCCACTGCCTACAGTGCTGGCATCCCATGTGGACACCGGTTCGAGTCCCAGCTGCTCCACTTCCCATCCAGCTCTCTGCTATGGCCTGGAAAAGCAGTGGGAGACCCGGAAGAAGCTGCTGGCTCCTGCCTTCGGATCAGCCCAGCTCCAACCATTGCGGCCATTTGGTGAGTGAACCAGTAGATGGAAGACCTTTATCTCTTTCTGCCTTTGCCTCTGCCTCTCTGTAACTCTTTCAAATAAATAAATGTTTTAAAAATTTCATAACACAAAAGCTATAGAAAATGCAAATATTAAAAAGCTAGAAACGAGTTGGTATTGTGGTGTGGGGAGTTGAGTGGCCACCTGCAACGCTGGTATCCCATATGGGCGCTGGTTCAAGTCCCGGCTGCTCCACTTCTGAACCAGCTCCCTGTTAATGCGCATGGGAAAGCAGTGGAAGATGGCCCAAGTACTTGGGCTCCTGCCACCCATGTGGGAGACCCAGATGGAGCTCCGGGCTCCTGGCTTCCAACTGGACCAGGCCCATCCTTTGTGGCCACATGGGGAGTGAACCAGCAGATGGGAAGATCTCTCTGTCTCTCCTTCTCTCTCCGTGTAACTCTGACTTTCAAATAAATAAATAAATCTTAAAAAAAAAGAAAGTAAAAATGGTCAAAACTGATTGTAGAAGAATAAGACTACCTAAATCTACCATTTATAGAAAAAATTGACCAAAGGAAAGTACAATCCCATGTCTTGTTTTAATTTTACCTATATTCAAGGATGAGATAACACCAATGTTATTTCCATTTTCTAGATTCTGGAGTCTAGAGAACATGGAGGGTATAAAGACTTCTAGGTGCTGGCATCATGACATAGCAAGGAAAGCTGCTGCGTGTAATGCTGGCATCCCATAAGGGTGCTGGTTAGAGTCCCAGCTGCCCCACTTCTGATCCAGCTCCCTGCTAATGTGCCTGGGAAAGCAACGGACGATGGCCCCCAAGTGCTTGGGCCCCTCCACCATGTGAGAGACCTGGAAGAAGCTCCTGGCTCCTGGCTTCAGCCTGGCTCAGCCCTGGCCGTTGCGGCCATTTGGAGAATGAATCAGCAGATAAAAGATTGATCAATCTCTCCCTCCCCCCATTACTGATTTTCAAATAAATACAATAAATCTTTTAAAAAAGAAAGAAAATCTATGGGTATTGTTAACAACATTAATAAATCAAAGGGTCAAATTCCATGGCAGTCTGCTATAATATATTTGATAACAAGTCCTTTCCAGATTAACAAAAAACTATTAGGAAAAGATGGCTATTTCTGGGGCCGGCGCTGTGGCTCATTTGGTTAATCCTCTGCCTGCAGCACTGGCATCCCATATGGGTGCCGGGTTCTAGTCCCGGTGGCTCCTCTTCCAGTCCAGCTCTCTGCTGTGGCCCAGAAGGGCTGTGGAGGATGGCCCAAGTGCTTGGGCCCTGCACCTGCACGGGAGACCAGGAGAAGCACCTGGCTCCTGGCTTTGGATCGGCGTAGTTCTGGCCATGGCAGCCATTTGAGGAGTGAACCAATGGAAGGAAGACTTTTCTCTCTATCTCTCTCTCACACTGTCTAACTCCATCTGTCAAATAAATAAAAAAAAAGATGGCTATTTCTGTAACATCATCATTATCATCATACCTTTTTTCAAAAGCCAAAAACCAACATTATGTATGCTTAATGGTGAAACAGTAGAGGCATTCCCTCTTAACACTGGGAACAAGGCAGAGGCACCCACTTTCCCCACGAATATTTGAAATTGTTCTGAAAATACTTGGAAATACAACCTGACAGGATAAAGACATTCACATTGTAAGAGGGGGATATGTTCTGATTATGAGTAGGTGATATGATTATTTATCTGAAAAATTCATGAGAAACAATTTAAAAACTAATACTAACAATAAGAAAATTCAGTAAGGTGTCAGGGTGTAAAATTAATATATATAAATCCACAACTTTCCTGCAAGCAACAATCAGAAAAGGCTAATGGAGGGAAAGACCACATTTATATCAACAATGAAAAAGATAAAATACCCAGGGATAAACCTAGCAAGAAATATGCAGGACCTACATGCAGAGAACTTTAAAACTCTATTGAGGAACACGAAGCAAGATGTAGATAAATGAAAAGATATACACTTTACTAGCAAAAATGACTCTATATTGTAAAGCTGTCAAGTTTTCCTAAATTAATCTATAAAGTTAGCGCAAAGCCAATAAAAACTGTCAACGGACTGTATTTTAGAACATTATTCTAAATTTCATATGGGGAAAATAAAGTTCTGAGAATTGCCAGGAACAGTAGGAAAAAAAGCACAGTGATGACAGAGGACTATCCCTACCAATGATTAAAATGTTTTAAAGTCACAGTAAGAGATGTGGTCTCATAAATAGATGGATGCATGAAACAAAACAGAGAACTTCAGAACACTGATGTAAATCCAGATGCATAGGGCAAGTTAGTTTGTGATAAGGGAGGCATTTGAAATAGTTAAAAGACAGATTATTCAATACCTAGGTTTGATACAACTGGATAGCCATTGGAAGAAAAATAAGGCTGAACCCTTACATCACTCTTTACAATGAAATAAAGAAAAATAAGGCTGACAATAGGGACCGGTGCTGTGGTGTAGAAGGTTAAGCCTCCACCTGCAGTGCCCGCATCCCATTTGGATATCGGTTCGAGTCCCAGTTGCTCCACTTCCGAACTAGCTCCCTGCTAATGTGCCTGG